TCTCTCTGTCAAATAAATAAAATCTTAACAAAATAAAATCTCTAAAAATAATAACAATAATCTCTTTTATGATAAGGAAACTGAGACGTAGAGAGGAAAACCCACTTATCCAAGGCCACACAGCTGGGAAGGAGCAGAGAGAGAATTCTAAGTCCTCTAAGTGCTCTTAAACCACTACCCCACACTACACCCCCGGACTCTCAACCAGGCTTCTACCCTGCATCTCTGCTCCAGCCAGCACCCTCCCCTTGGCTAACTTCATCCAGCCCACAGGTAAACACTGAGTACAGAGAGCTGACGGCCGTATCTTGTGATTTGGGCATTCCTCTCCCAGGGTCCAGTTTGGTTGTGAGAGCAGGTACTAGATCCACTCAGACTTGCATTAAGTTTCAGCTTCACCTTTCGCTAGATGTGTGACATTTGGGTAAGTCACTTTAACAGATGAACATGAACTGCTCTAACAAGTATGAAAATGTCTAGCCTCGAAGCTGGTACCTTGTGTGTTCTCACTAAGTGGGAAAGACCAGGTCCGGAGTATCAGAGATACCTAGAGAAGCTGGCCCCTAACTCCAAGAGGCCCCTGGGTTCTCAGCCTCTCCTCTTAACATTTGAGTCTTATGCCAAAAACCTCCTGCCACTGCCCCCCATCCCTAATGCTCCTCCATAAATCCTTCATAAATCCTTGGGCTTTCAAGTCAGACAGAACATGTTACAATACTAGTTCCCCCACTTACCGTCTGTATGACCTTGGACAAATGACTCGTCCCTGAGGCTCAGTGTTCTCTTCTACAAAAGAGTAATAATGGTACCTACTCCATGGGATCGTTGTGAGGATTAAATAATAGAACTTGTGTCAATGTTTAGCACATGGTCGGGCATACAGCGAAGGCTCAGAAAATGTTAACTATTTTTCCTGAATAATAACAGTTGTAGTAGCTTTGAACTGCCTGCTGATGAAAGTCCAAATTCCCAACCCGGTATTCAGAGACTTGTACACTGTAGCCCCATCATTCCTTCCTCCCCTCTCCTCCAACTGCTCTGCTCTGTGGAGGTCACACTCAAGCCACCTGTGGCTTTCTCACCTCCATGTCTCTGCCCATGATCTTCCTCTCCATTCAGAATGCTCTCCCACACCTCACACCTGTCTACTTCCTCACCTCCCACTCAAGCCTCACCTCCCAATGAAGGGGCTACCTCCTCAACTGCCCTGGGTTTCCCCAGCACTTACAGCCAGCATATATTAGTGCTCGGACCCTACAGAGTGAGGCTTCTGTCTGCGCCTGTCTTACCAGAGGTCACATTTGATTTCTTTTCAGGAACTGACCTTTCTCTACTGTCGGTCCATGTGTGCCAGGGACGGGAATGTGGCTGAAGTCTTAGACAAAGTCACATTGATTAACTAAGAGGTGAATCCTTGGCCAAAGCCTGGGCCAATGAGAATCAGCCCTGGAACTTTTGCTGGAACCACTGACTAACAGATGTTCTTTTCCCACAGGCATTGCTAAGGTAAAATGATGTAAATTCAGAGCTGCTAGTAGCCTTATTTATCACCTTTAGGAGAGAAGCAAACTTTAAAATGAGCTGACACGGGGCGCCTGGATGGCTCAGTCATTAAGCGTCTGCCTTTGGCTCAGGTCAGGATCCCGGGATACCGGGATTGAGCCCCGCATCGGGCTCCCTGCTCTGCAGGAAGCTTGCTTCTCCCTCTCCCACTCCCCCTGCTGTGTTCCCTCTCTCATTGTCTCTCTCTGTCAAATAAACAAATAAAATCTTTTTAAAAATAAATAAATAAATAAAATGAGCTGACACAGAGGAGCCAAGAAATGGAGATAGACATATTCTTAATAGCATTATTTGAGTATCTGGATCCATTCATGCCTAAAGCAAGATACTCTCTTTTTTTTTTAAGATTTTATTTTTAAGTAATCTCTATACCCAATGTGGGGCTCAAACGCACAACCCTGAGATCAGAAGTCCCATGCTCCACTGACTGAGCCAGCCAGTCACTCCTGAAGCAAGATACTCTTCCACTTTTAAGTTATGTGAGCCAAAAACCCCACCATCCCTATTTTATTTAATTTTTATTTATTTAAGCCATTTGAGTTGGATTTCTGTCACTTGCCACTGAAAGAATGCTGACCACTATAGTGATCCAACTAGATGGTAAGTTTCCTGAGAGTGGGGATCATGCTGTATAGACCTAAATCCTCTGGGGCCAGGATGATCTTGGTATATTATAGCACCTAGCAGGGATGATCACAGAGCAGGTAAAGAATAACTGGAGGAATAAGCACCTCTGAATTTTCCCAATAGTCCAGGGCTCCACACTTAGAAGAGTCTAAAATACCCGAGGGGCCCCTGGTGGCTCAGTTGGTTAAGCGACTGCCTTCGTTCGGCTCAGGTCATGATCCCAGGGTCCTGGGATCGAGCCCCACATCAGGCTCCCCGCTCAGCGGGAAGCCTGCTTCTCCCTCTCCCACTCCCCCTGCTTGTGTTCCCTCGTTCACTGTCTCTCTCTCTCTCTCTCTCTCTCTGTCAATTAAATAAATAAATAAAATCTTTAAAAAAATAAAAAAAAGAAGTCTAAAATACTTGAATGCAAGTTTACATGAATGAGGATTCTAATTCTTACCTGATATAAACAAGGCCCTTTGCTGCCCTGCAGTTCCTCTGAGAATGATTTCTTACTTTCTGAACAGAACCGTCTTGGTAAAAGAGCTGCTTTAGGAGACACACCGGGCTGAAAGAGATACTTTGAATCCACTAATGTAACTGATTAGTCTTCCACTATAAGGATGACAAAACTGAGATTTAAGCTAAAAACAATTGTTTAATACTGCAGGGTGAATCACCCAGGCAGAGTCAGCCAAGCAAGACCCTATCCCATGACTCGCAGTCCAGTGCTCTAGCTCCTGTCCTGATGTCACTTCATTAAACAAAGCGAATTGGTCACTTACCCAGAGAACTCAGAAATCTCTAAGCAAAACAGAATAAACTGCTCAACTCTGCTAACTGGCCTCCTCAGCCCTCAGGTGTGGGACAGCAACACCAGGGAAAGAGCACGGGGCCAGGAGTTGAGACCTAGTTTACTCCCCTCCTGGCGATGAGACTTTGGGTAAGACCTTTTCTCTAGTCTCAGTCTCCTCTCTCTCAAATGAGGGGAGGGGAAAGGTGGGATTTGAAGGAGCTGATCTCTATGATCCCTGAAATTCTGTGATTACATGGGGTTACTGGACACTCCATCAAATCCCGAAGATTAAACCCACATAAATTACAGGGAATTGGGAACTGGAAGGCCAAGAGGGCAGCAACCCCTCTGCAGACTCCAAATTAAGGGTGAGGAATTGAGGATTCCAGACAAGCATATATTCTCTCCAGCTTGCCTTTGGAGGAAGAATAGAATGGAAATACATAAAATGACCTTCTGTGTACCACGGAAAAATATGGAGACATACCCCGCACACACTACAATTCTCCTTTCTCACCTTCAAAGATCCTAGAAGACCTACATCTAAGTAGATGGAGTGAGATCTATTTGAAACAAGCTCATTAGAATGTCCTCATCTGAATTAACACTGCTTTCTTCAAAGTAGTCCTTCTGAGAGTTTGGGAAATTCTTCCAAGGGGACGGTAATTTCTCCCTGTATTTGTAAAAGTCCTCTTGGGGAAGCAAACCAGCCTCATGATTTTGCTCTCATACCTTGGCTTTCATCCCAAGTGACAATTCTCAATTTGATCACTACTGTATTTTCTACAGTTGGCCCTAAGCGACTTCCAGCCATTTCCAAAAATCATATTCTTCCTTTAAAAGATGGAGGTTCCCCTCAATGATGATATTCAAGAAAACACACCCCACACTCCAAAAACAATTTCCTACAATGTTTTGAGCAGTGTAATCATCAGCAAGTGATAACACCTCCTGCAGAGTCTCTTTTGAAGAGGCCCATACTTGTTGAATGCCCTGAGGTGCTTATTTTGAAAGACCATCTCTACTGTATGATCATCACATTTTCCCTACTCTTTCTCATTCCTGGAGGGCTCCAAACTTTTCCTAACCTCACCAGCCCTCCTCCCCCATTGCTGCTATATCTTGACCTCACTTTCCCCAGCCCAACTCTTTCCTGCCTGCAATTAGGCAAATGCCCAAGTTGCTGAATCTTCAAAATCTGCCTTCGATCAAAAGGTGGGTGGGGGTGGGGACTCTAATGGATCCTGGAATATAGTCTCAGCAGTTCCTATTCCCAAAAGTCCTTTCTCTGGTTCTTAGGGCAAGATGTCTGTCCTAGCTAAACATTTCAAAGGGTCCCAGGGATTTATTCCCATTGAGCATAGCACCAGAACCCTTCCTGCATTGGGTGGGGGTGGCAGGTGGAGACTTGCCCTCCCAAGACCCTCATGCTGTCAACCACCCACATTTCAAACACTGGATAGACACTATACACATGCATATCTTCCTACGTTCCTTTATCTTAATACAGACCTTCAAAGTTTACAAAGTTTACTCTTTCATTTGTTCCTGGGATCTTCTCCATTGTTTTACAGATGTGGAAGCCTAGCCTCAGAGAAGTAAAGTGAAACACCCAAGTTGATAATGTCAGCAAGATAAAGGTCAAAGTCAGATCTTCTGATTCCCCCAACTCATCCTCTTTTTTGATACAATAGAAATTGCTTACTCCTAGAGTAACTCCTCATTCAGATAATTATTTCCCCCAAGACAGCCAAAAGAGACTCTCAGAGACCCTCAGACACTCTAACATAACGCTAACCCATCAATAAATGCAGTCTGCCCATATCCAAGCACACAAACTCAAAGACCCAGTCCTAAGGCTCTGCCTCCTGCCCCAAGGTGTCTCTCTCTCATAAATCCCTTCCCCAGTGGCTGCTGAGGGACACCGAGGAGGTGTGTCTTTAGACAGAGGAGCAGAATCTCTCTGACCCCTCAAGAAGGGGCCCCGTCTTCGGCGCTTGTTCTGGGGGTCTCGCCCCCACCCCTCCCCTACCTGCCAAAAGCTGCATCCAGGCGCAGATCTTGTAGACCGTGGCCGTGTTGCAGAAGAAGAAAAGCGCAAAGCAGGTGATACAGCCGAGGATCAGCACCATGGAGAGCAGCACGAAGAAGGCGGCTGCCTTGAAGGCGCCGGACGGGATGGTGCTGAAGTCGGTGAACGAGCCTCGGCAGGTGAGCTCGCGGCCCGCCAGCCCGCTGCCCACACAGTAGTGGAAGAGGCCGAAGTAGCCAGGCTTGGGGGTGCTCACGCTGTCGCCCACCCAGTAGGGCTGGATGAAGACCACCACGTTGATGATGGCGAAGCAGATGGTGAAGATGGCCCATAGCACACCGATGGCCCGCGAGTTCCGCATGTAGTGCTCGTGGTAGAGCTTGGAGGCCTCCTGAGAGGGCAGCATGGTGCCCGGGGGCGGGGCCGGCGGCGGCGACGGCGGCTGGCGGGGGCCGCCGGCCCGGGACCGACCGCCGGGCTGCCGGGCTGCCGGGCTGACAGGCGGGAGCTGGGGACGCACGCGAGAAGCGGCCCTGAGCCAAGGAACTCTCGAGGGCGGGGCCTGGGGCGGAGCTGGGGGGACCTAGGGGATAGTATGGAGGAGGCAGGAGGGGGTCCTGAGTGTTGGGGCGGTGTCTGGGGGGAGTAAAGATCTCCAACGGGGGGCCTAGGAAAAGGACATGTGAAAGTTGGGGGGGCTGGGATGAGGGGGATGGGGTGTGGATATGGGAGTTGGAAGTGGGGGCTGGCTAGAAAGTGGTCATGGGGGTGTTGGCGAGGGGGTTTGGGGGCTAGAACTGGGGGAGTAGGAAGGAACCATGGGGAGATGGAATGGAGGCTGAGGACCGGTATTGGGGGATTAGCAGAGGGGCAGTATATAGGGAGCTTGGAAAGGAAATTGGGTATTAGGGGTAAAAGGAGATTTGTTATTGGGCGTCTAGAAAGGCGCTGTGGAGAGGGGGGCTGGTGCTTCTATATGAGGGGATACGAAGGGGATATGAGGGGCTGGTACTGGGGGACTGGGAAGGTGATATGGGGGCTGGGACAGGGAGGGCGAAGTGGAGGAAATCAAGATGAGGCTAGTGGGGAGTCGAGGGCTGGGACTGCAGGGTCTGAACACAGGGCGGGGGTCTGGGGGGTCCCACAGAAGACAGGACTGGATGTAGGCTGAGGGAAGCCTAGGATTGGCGGGCCAGGGCTGAGGAGAGAGGTTTTCCAGGCCAAGGGTACGAGGGACTGGGGCCGGCAGGCAGCCCGGGCCTCGAGGGCCGGACTGTAGGCAGGGTTTATCCCCGGAGCGCTGGGGAGCTGCCCGGCGGGGGTAAGGCCGGGAGTAGGGCCGGGGGTGGGGGTGGGGGGCGGCTGCCCCGCGCCCAGGCCGGACGCGCGCGCAGACTGCGGCCGGGGGGACGGGGTGCGGGGAGACCAACCTGGGCCCGGTCCAGAGCAGTGGGTCCGGGACTGGCACGGCCTAGGCGCCCCGGCTCGGCGCTCCCAGCAGCTGCTGCCTCGGCCCAGGAGGCGGCCTTGGCGCGGCCTCCATCTTGCTCGGGTTCTCCCCGGGGCGCGCTCCCGCGCCGAGGCGCGCGCTCTCGTGCACCGGCGCGGATCGTCGGAGGCGCGCTCCCGCCGCGGGCGTGCGGGGCGGGGCGGAACGGGGGAGGGGCGCTCCAGGTTCTGGTAGTCTGGGGAAGGAGTGGGCACGGTCCCAGGGGTCCCCCAGCCCGAGCAATAAGCCCCTTACACAATAGGGCCCTCTGACGGGGGACACCCTTCTTCCAGCCTGAGCTGCGGGGTTTGTGGGTCCCCGCAGAGCCCATGGGAATGGGGGAGGGACCAAACGGAGTATTATTTGATAGGGTTTGAACTGATCTTTTGCTCCCAAATTACCTTCCCTACAGCCTAACACAGTGCCTCAGGTTGCACCATTACGCTTCCAGCCCTTTGGGTCTTGGAGGCGTTGAAGGTTCCCAGAGTCTCCTTGGAAACTGCCAACACCCCTGGGAGAGGGAACCCTCTAAACTGTTAGCATCCCACGCCAGCGATAGGGATTCGTTGGCCACCAGCGGAAGGAGCTGGGCCTGGAGAACAAGACCCAGGGTGAGTATGCGGGACAAGAGGGAAGGAGGCTGGGAACATGCTGGTCTCCCTCCCTACACTCTCCGGAGTGCCTGACACGAAGTGAGCACATGATTAAGATGTGTTAAAGAACAAAGCGTCCAAGTCCAGGCTCAAGGTCAGGCCCAAGAACACCCTGGGGGCACTCCAAGGGAGCCAGTGTGGGTCATTTCTTTCCCCGAAGGGGAGTAACTTTTGACTTAGGATCAGCCAACATGGTCAGGGTTGGCATCCAGACAAACTCTGACTACTATTTACTACCTCTGTGACCTTGCACTGGGGCTCTCTGAACCTTTGTTTCCCCATCTGCAAAGTGAGCAGATTAAGCCCCATTTCACAGGCACGTGGAGGCAACGAGTAGGGTTGAAACATAATCTGTTAGTAGGTTCCAAATACTGAATTCTACACAGGGGCCAGTCTGATGAAATTTGCATCTATCTTCAGAAAAAAATAATCATATAAGGTTGCCAAATGTCTTTTCCGAGGGGGAGAGGCACTGTTCTTTTTTTTCCTGAGATTGTATACTTCCTGATTTCTTAGTGTAAGAATTCGTTTTTAAAGAAGTGTTGATGATAGTTAATTTTTTCTTTAGTTAAGTTTGTTTGATGATAGGTTTTGTGTTTTTTTTTTTTTAACGTCCTCGTTTGGGCACAATAAAACATAGGCAGTGTTATTTCCATCCCAAATTTTATTTTATTTTATTTTATTTTATTTTTTAGTAAAAAGACTTTATTAAGAAGGCCTTGAGGTCAAAAAATAAAACTCTTGATACAATTTTCTGAACCCTTAAGTCGGCTCAGCAAGTATATAATCAGTAATTTTGCTGTGTAAGATTAAATGTCCATTTTTATTTAAAATAAAATGTATTTTAGTTCTTTGGATTTATCCCATAAAGCACATATTTCCCTATAAATTCCCTTCCTTGATGTGGCCTCTTCTCTCCCTCTAGTTGTGGAGTTTGTTCTCAGTCCTCAGGTTGATTTCTTGGATACTCAGAATGATTTGATAGTTACCTAGTTTTGTTTGCAGGACAAGCCAAGGTTCTTCCTACTATGCAGCCATCTCTCCATCTCAAATTTTAAAACAAAATTATAAGGCTCATGAAATGGGCTCCACATTTGGGCAACTCAGACCCATGTGAAGTCATCTCATCTGAGTACAGAGCGCTCAATAAATTTGGTTTCCCCTTCCATTGGCTCCTTGCAGAGGGCATCCTGGCTGTTTCCTGAGAATGCTAAGATCCTAGAATCAAGGGGCTACACCTCTTCACCCCTTAGCCGTTGGAGAACAGAGGCCAAAGAGGGGACTGACTTGAACAAAAAGATGGATTGATCCTGCCAATTAGACTAATCCACCTAATTCATTTGTGCATTCGTGCACTAAATAAAGTCTCCTGTAATGTGCCAGCACAGCACTATGCTAGAGCTGGGATGAGATGGTGGGTAAAACAGATGTGGTTCCTCTCCTCCTGGAGCTCACAACTTCATGGGGTCCTGGGAGGAGGGATCAGGGAAGGGGTCATCCTCAAAGTCTCCTTCTGTGGATGCTCCTGGTTTGGGTACTATTCTGAACATAAGTTACTGGAGCCAGAAGCTCCATCTTTTCTCCTTACTCTGCCATGAATTATCACCTTTTTTTTTTTTTTATTCTGCTCTGCCAAACCAGGCAGTCCAGGGGAAAAAAAAAAAAAAAAACACAGAAGTCCACTTACCACTCTCTTAAGGGAAGAACTGGGATTCTTGCAAAGTTAGGTCCTTAGTTCATCACTGGTTGCTCTATTCTAGCTCTGCAGAGCAAGGCCACCCTGTAGAGATCTGCCCACCACCCATACCACCTCTGCCATTGGTACTTCTTTCCCCCTCACTCAGTCCGTGTGTTTGGTGAGATTCACCCCACCACTACCATTATACTCTTCCCCAGAGTGGAGCAAATGATCAGGCCTGGACAATGAGAATACTCCATTGTTCTAAACACAATGATTGGTTCAGGGGTGGGCCCATGAACCAACCCAAATAGTTGAGATTGATAACTAGGTCATTTGTCAAGTTTTCAAGAAAGAGGTGTTGTCTCTCTGTTGAGTTTGTTGAGCTGAAGGAATGGTAAGCTTCAGCTACTGGGGGCCATCTTTGACACCCTAAGCAGAGAATTTGTCTAAGAATAATGTGAACACATAGGAAAGTAAGAAAAGGAGAGCTAGTTCTGATGACATAGTTTGAACACCTGGAGCCATCCATGCCTGAAGACCTGCTTCTGGATTGTTCTGTTTGGTGAGCCAATACCTTCAGGTTTTGCTTAAGCCAGTTTGAGTTGGGGTTTTGTTGCTTCCAATCAAAATAGTCCTAAATAACTTAACTACATCTCCCAAAAGAAAGCAGGGCTAGTTTAATGTATTGTTTATATTGTAGAAGAATGCCTGAATAGGTTAGCTACTCCTGCCATGATGGATATAAAAGCCAGAATTTGAGGCCCATCTCTGACACTGGACGATAATGCTACTCCTCAGAGCCTTATTTTCTTCCTTTGTAAAACAGAGAAAAATATACTTCCTACCTACAGATGTTGTGAGAATTAAAAGAGATAATGGATGGAAAGGAGCTTTGTAAACCGAACATGGCTTTATAAATGTGATTGTCATTAAATTTTAATAAGTGGCTTGCCCAAGGATTAGAAATAGCAGCAGTATTGGAAAAGCACTTGCTGAGCTGTGAGTAGGTGGCACAGAATGTCTCCTTGTTTTAAAAACTAACCTTGGAGCAGCTACAGAAAGAAAGATTGAAAAGCAGTTACAGAAAGAAAGATTGAAAACGCTCTACAGAAAGAATTTCTCTTTGACCCCAGGGAGGGGCCAGGCTAGAATGGAACAATTGTGGGAACAAAATGGGGACTATAGACCATAAGGCAAGGATGATGCTGGACTGAGCACCTGGATGAGAAGAGAAGCCCCCAGGGCACTTCCAGCCACTATCCCACTGAAAAAAGGTAACTTGCTGATTACCCTTATGCCCAAATTTAGTGTTCAATTACGTCAAATGTTTGATAAGCTCTTACAACATTCTAGGTCTCCTGATCTTTGCTTTATATGTATTATCTCATTCAGTCTTCATAATAGCCCTGTGAGATAGTGTTATGAGCTGAACCGTATACTCCTCTCCCCAAAAATTCATATGTTGAAGTCCTAACCTCCAGTCCCTCAGATTGTGACTGTATTTGGAGACAGAGACTTTTTTTTTTTTAGATATTTCGATGGCTATCATTATTATTATTGTATTTATTTCTTTTTTAGAGAAA